TATATAAGAAAAATTCTGAGTGCAGAAGCAAAATAAAATTGATTATGATTAACATCTCTTACACAATAACCAAAATGAATTAAACGTATGAAAGAATAAACTAACTAAAGAAAATACTATAAATGAATACTATAAGAAAAACTAATAAATTCTTAGGCTTCTACTCGCCGTCTTCCTGCAGAACGGATTCGGGAACTAAGTCCTCCTGATCTGAAATGGTTAAATAAGGAATGAGGTACACTAGCCCAGTAAAGACATCACACTATCTCACTGTCACAGAAGTAAAGGTTGGTAGAAAACAAAAACGACCAATGGAGCATAATTTATAACGAACTCATTTATCAATAATAAAAATCTTTACTATCCACTTACCTCGGTGAGATTCATGAAAACAACTTATGAGAAACCATAACGTCATAAACATCATAAGATCATGTACACTCTGTAACATAACACATATTATACTTTTGTATTTCAATCATCAGGCAACAAAATTCCTCTTATATTAGTCTACTAGTATCCATGGGAATCCATAGGGGGTCTCCGCTACATGTGAACCATTCACATTAATAACTTAATTCCAGGGCCGTCCCCATACCCCGTCTAGTATAGGCGCCAAAACCATAAACCTCAATACCCCGTCCGGTATGGGCGCCAAAACACATAAAATCTTCATACCCCGTCCCATATGAGAGACCACGTTCCCGGTAGGGTTCCCTATGGACCCAGTTCGTCCATCATCTCCCAGGATATCTAGTCAGGCTATCGATACTATCCATTTATTAATTTATATACCTTTTTCTATTTTTCTTAATCTCAATTATCCAATCAAACATAAACACATAAACTAGTAATGGACACCAAACAAGGCAACACAACATCGGGTTCACAATAATTCAAACCATAATAAATGAAACCGTGATTCATGCATACGAAACCATAGAATAAACACATCAGACACCATACTACATTCAAAACTGTAAAATAAATCAAACAACACCTGATCGAAAAATACATCAGATTTGGGCTCTATTAGCAACCTTAATTAATTATACATATCTATTAATTCATAAAATACATTTTTATCATTTATTAAACTTTAATGCCGTGATAGGAAATAGAGTGAGAGATCCTTACTTGTTTCGGAGTCTGAAATCGGGTTCTCACTGTGCCTACGGGCAGTCCCTAGATTCATTGAATTTTTTTTCGAAAACTGAAACACACTTCCGGGACCTGCACATGTCCCCAAAAAATTCTAAATCAGACCCAGGGCCTTTTCGGCCAATTTTAAAAATTCCGGCACGGCAACTCCGCCCTGCTCCAGCATCGGCACCGCCGCCCACAGTGGCGATCCACCACAGGTTGGCCGTTTTTGGCTGTTTTTGGCCAAATTCGGCCAAACTTGCATTGGTTCCTGTGATAAAACACCCCTAGGGCCCTCGGTAGGCCAAAAAATTCCAGAAAACCGAGACTTACTGGCGGCGAAGCTCTTGGGTACGGTGGCTCCTCCGACGTGAGTTGCGATTTGGTATTTTGCTCCGGTCAACCTGTAGAGAAAAGGATGGTGGTCACAGTGGTATAAAAATTACATCGAACGGGAACTGGAAAGGGCCTCATCGGAGGCAAAAACTGAAGAAACCCGCAGTGGCGCCGCTGGACTTTGACGGTGTTTTTCGGCCAATCGACCAGTGGTTTGGCTCCGATTTGGCCACAGGGAGGTTCAGCATCGAAAAACGAGCCAATGAGAGAAATTTTACCTCGTTTGACAGCCAGAAAATCCTCTAGTGCAGCGGCCCGTTCCTCTGGTGGCTGGGTCGTCTTCTCCGGCGAGGGTTCTGGCGGCTAGAGTTTGGGGTTGGGTGTGGATGCGTTTATTTATAACCTTCTCCTTTTAATCTGAGGCATCTATCATGATTTAATCTGGACCGTCCGATCGCGATTAAATTGAAAATAAATCTGGGTCGTCCATCGCGATGCAATCTGGGCCGTCTGTGCGTGATTAAATATGAGCCGTTTGCACGCATGTGATTTGGGCCATCCATGCGCGTTTTTGATCTGGGCCGTCCGTGTGCACGGGAACGGATCTGGGCCGTCTGATCGCACGCACGTGGATCGCCCACATGTCTCCGTCCCGCGTGGCTTCCCACGTCAGCGTCCTTGCCACACAGTTTGTCCTGGTTGGCCGGGGCTGCTGACGTAGCACTACTTTTCTAAATTACGTTTTGATCATGGATTTTCGATTTTCTTTTCAAAAAACACCCCTAGAATCCAAATTTTCACCCCTTTTTCCCAAAATCAATTTCAATTAAATCCCAAAAATAATTTTACCTTATATTATTATTATTATTTTTATTTCTATTAAATTAAATTAAAACTTTATAAATTAATTATTAAAATAAAATAAAATTAAAATGAAAATTAAAATAAAATAAAAATTTTGGGTGTTACAAGGGGAGGTATATGGTGGAGGCCACGGGAGGAGAGAGAAGGAGGAGTTCGATGAGTGAGTGAGTTCCGTGAGAAAGAGAAACTCTGTGATTAAAAATGTGTAAGGGAAGTTGTAGGGAGATGATGTGAATAGATGTGATTGGCGACGGACAGAAGCGCACGGAATGAGGTAAGTGAAGGGAGGTGAGAAAGGTGTGGAGAGAGGAGCGGTTAGGGACAGAATAGACCTAGGAGAGTAGTAGAGGGGGAGCTGGCAATGGAGGATAGGAAAGGTAGGGGGCTGTGAGAGTTGATACATCTAGTAAGAAAGGATGAGAAGCCGAGGCTATTTGGGGAGGAGTGAAGGCAGGGATAGAGAGTGTGTTGAGTGCTAACAGAGAAGGTAGGCATGGGGGTGGAGTGTGTGTATTATGAAAATTAGGGAGTGGGAGAGGGAGGCCTGTAGCGGGTGTGTGTGAGAGATTAGAATAAAAGTGTATTGGTGTGGATGTGTTGTGTGTGGGTGTGAGTTGCATGCACATATAGGTTGATATAGCTGCTGTAAATTTAGGAATTTGGTAAATGAGCATTAAGTGTAGGGGTGTACTGGTGTATGAGTGCTAAGTGTGAGTGTATGTCGTATGGGAAGACGTAGGTAGGTCCTGTACACATGTTAAAAGTATAAGAGAGCCTCAGAACAATGTTGTGGTATAGGAACATTTTTAAAGGGTATACCAGTAAGGGGAAAAATCAAGTATGTGAGTCTATTGGGTAATTTGAGTAAGAACGGTATGAGATTGTCTTTGAGGTGGTTACGCTGGGAGGACGCCGATATTAGTTGTCGCTATCTAAAAAGAGTAAGTTGATTGCCGATGGTGGTGATAGTTAGGGGTTTCTGGCGGGTAAGGCATTGGGTCACCGATATTGGTGACGGGAGAAAATATTATTGGTGTGTGTGTGTGGCCTGTTAGGGGTCGAGAGATAGAAGGTTCATTGATGGTCGCCGATATTGGTGATGGATGTGAATATTTGTACAGTTTAGTGGCCTAACCCGGGTCGAGGGGGTGCTGTCAGAGGACTGTCACATCTAACATGAGTGACACTTAAAATACCGGCGAATAGTTATTAATCCTGTGTAGTTAAATGGTAGTAAAAAAGTGCGACTTAGGCTACGGAAATGGGAAACATATAAAAATAGGGTTTTAAATTGGTTTTCATATGATACTTGTAATTTAATTTTTACTGTACTGAGTTGTATGTACTCACTCTTTATTATTCACAGATGAAGTAGGGATGGAGTCGGGATCGGAGTTGTCGATTTTCAATCCTAGCGTATAGTGAAACAGTGCAAGGATTTCTACTAGTAGAATTGAGTGCGTAAAAAGTTAGTAGTAGTATAGGTTGTGTGTCTGCTGAGAATGTATGAGATTGTATTTCACTGTAATGTCACATTTATGGTTGAAGGTTTATATTTGACATTGAGCAATAGATTGTGATAGTTTCTTTTCTATGTATGCGACTGATTTGCAGTGAGTTTTTAGTATTTGATCATTGAGCTATTTGAGACTATGCCATTAAAAAAAAAAAACGGGGCGTTACATTGCATCAATTTACTTACATAATCTTCAATAATTTTAATCATTAAATTATCACATCTTTGTTAGTATAATGGTTCGAGTTGATTGGTTAAATGAACGATTGAGTTTTTTATTTCTAAAATATTATTACTATAGTTTATTGTCAGAAATATATAAGAATCAACATTCTATAACTCATTCTAAATGGTTAAAACCGTATTATTGTTTCAAAAGTAATTCTATTCCAAGTTCACCAAAATATATTGTACGTTGACTTGAATCTATTTATATGAAAACAATTAGTATTTAACGTAAACAACATAATGTTTCTGTAAGAGAGTTGACAATTCAAATTCAAGTTCTCTTTTCTACTATTATTTTTCAAAAAAATGAATCACACAGGTGAAAAATCACTCTAAATCAAAAGGCAGGCAAGCTTTAAAATAAAAACCTAAATTCCCTAACTATAGATCAGACTATGAGGTATTAAAGAAAGCAAAAATTGATCAATCATTTCTTTTTATTTTAAAAAATAACTTAATATAAAGCTTTTATTGATACAAAATTACATAATTAAAAATACATTATCACGCAATAATTTAAAAAGTATCTATAGTCGATACACATTTATTTAAATTCTATAATTATTCACTGAGAAATTAGCACAAAATTCATTTAATTATATTGAAGTAAGAAGCAAATCGGTGATACCCTTCACTGTAACCTTACCATTTAAAGTAAATGCATCTTCTTCTTTGTAAAGCTCATCTATTACTCTTGTGTAGTTGAGAATACACTTAAGCAAACACATAGGCACCGGAGGTGTTGGCATGAGCAATTGTTCGTTTATATCTTTCCATGCGTCCACAACTTGTTTCTCAAATTCCTCATACGTCTCTTGTACCGTCACATCATGTTCCTTCATGTAACTTTCAACAGCTGATGTTACGTGTCCTCTCTCTTGCTCTTTCTATATATATAAACACAGTAGAAGGTGCCAAAAAATTAATTTCTTTTACGATTAATAATTTTTTAAGGTTAAGAAATTATGAATTTAGAGTGTTAAGAGATGTTAGAAATGGAGCATAAGTTATTCACTAATAATGTTACATATGTGTGACAAGATTATGTCAAAAGAAATTGATTGATTGAGGCCTCTATACAAATTATTCACAAGCTCACAATTTTTATTTTATTGAGATATATCCATTAACCTAAACAGAACGGGACAGGTTTCACCAAAAATTTGCACAGTGCAAATAAAATTATTTTCTAATAAACCTGTCAAAAGTTTAAAGTCGTTTCAGAATAATGTATTTTATACTAAGATAAGTTTGATTTTAACAAAAATTCATTCTATACCCGCTTCATTATCATATCAACTTTAGAACAATAGTCAAAAAGAATAAATTTGACTAATTTATTAAATTAATAACAACAAAAAATAGGCTTAATAGTGGTAACATACTATAAATTTAATTAGTTAGGCAAAATTATTTTTTCATACTGTTCTTTAAAGTATTCAAATATGAAATAATTATTTTTTTTCCCGTTAGAAAGTAGAAGAAAACTGGATAGTTAGGAGATCAAACAATGTTAGGAACTAAATTTACTAGTTAATAAAATGGTAGTATGTCAAGTTTACCCTAATATATGTAGTTAATTTTGTTTTAACAGAATTTGGTAAGAGTAAAATTAGTAATCTTTTTTTTCCTTAACATAAATTTATATACATATAATACATACATACATACCGTGTGGGAGACAGTATCATCCATAAGCCTGCAAACAGTTGCAGAAGCCATAACAATTTTTGGATTAGCAGATACCCAATCAAGAATTTCCTTCGTTGCAATATCTCCCATTAACGCAAAAGTAGATGTAATAAGCATGGGGTAACCACTTGAAATTGCTGCAGTCTCCATATATTCTTCCATGGTTGGGGTGTAATTTTTATTGTACCACCTTGCTTCCGTTAAGTAGACTTGGGCTTGCTTCTTAATCTACACATTAATTAATTAATAAATAACATTAAATTTGCCTAATTTCGTATACGTAAAAATTATAAAAAAAAAAAAAGAAACGATAAA